TATATATATATATATATATATATATATATATATATACACACACACACATACACATATATATTATACTGGGTGTGATGGATAAATTATTGTCTAAATTACACAAAAATGAAAATAACACTGACATTTCATTTAAACAGATATATTTACCAAAATAACAAGAATATTTTGAAATTACTGAAGATTAAATTTATTCATTACAATCACCATTAGCTTCAACCATGGCCTCCAGAAAACATCGAAATCTCCGGAAACAATTCTGGGTGGACTCCTTGTTTAAGTTGGTGAATGCTACCATAATCCTTGCCTTCAGTTCCTCTTTGGTTTTACAAAGAGCTTTGTTGGTCTATCACTCAACTGTGCCCCACACAATAATCAAGAGGGTTCTTTTCCCAGTTTGAATATGAAAGAATATAAAAAATGGATTACATATAGATAAACAGTTTGAATATATAATAATAATCTTCATCAATTTTCTATGGGGACAATCATGGCTCGCCACTGTTTCCTGTCTAATTAATTTCTGCCTCTTTACTGTCCCTTTTTGTCCTTATATCATCCATTTACACACACACAGGTTTCCACCTGCCTCTTTTGCCTTCATTATGACTTGTCAGTGTTAACTTCTCCAGGCCTTCTTTCCTCATTGCATCTCATAAATGTGAATTATCTTTTATGTTTGTAATTATCAATTTTCTTCCAGTTCCTATTTCCTTTCAAAACTTTTTTCCTTAATATTTTATTTTTACTAAAGTTCATCCACTTCAGGGCTCAAGAGCCACTCATGGTAGTTGTTAAATGAATGAGGTGTGTGATTAGAACATTGGGTAAAAGTGAAGTTCAAGATTGTAATATTCAGAGAAGCCACCACGTGGTAGTTTGTTCCACACAGTTGTAGGTCTCAGAAAAGTCTGAGTGGAACCTAAAATTGGAACATAGAGGAAATGTGGATGATTTAACTCTGTGGATGTAACATGGTGAGTCCTGGTTGTAAAGGTCTGAAACTAGAACTAAAGAGTGGGTATCATCTGAATATTTGTCATAAAATTAGTTATAGTGGTGATAGACATGCAACATTGCATCTGCAGGAGAGAGGCTGTAGAGTTATTCTCAGCATTTGTCAACAGAACAGCTGCTGTGTTGCAGCTCAAACCAGACACCAGGTTCATTGACAGGGTGCAGTTTCTTTCAGTCTGTTATGGTCCGATTCTTTGTACCACAGTGATAGTCCAAGGTAGAACCAATAAAGAAGAACTCGAACATGGATATGGAATAAAACAGATATATTACAAACAGGAATATATACAGAGAAGTAGAAAGTGTTAGTCCGAAAAATCAGGTTTAGTAGTAATTGTCTGAACACGACTCTGTTTTGGACTGCCTCTGACTTGACTGACTGACTCGCTTGCTCTGACAAACTCCTGACGGACTTCACTCCAGGCTTCAGACTGAACTCCCTGCTTCCTCTTGAGGCGCAGTATTTATTACATATGGAATAGTCCATTATGTTATTATGGGTAAGGTCCCATAACACAGTCAAAAACTTGTGCCTTAAAAATTACCCTTTGGCTATATTGCTGCCCACAAGTGAAAAACAAAACAATTTCTAGCAATAAACCAGATTTTATTCTTAGGTAGTAACTGACTACTATAAGCAAGTGAAGGCATGTTGAGGTGTAAGTGAGAGGGGATGTGCACAATTCTGTGTCCATCGTCTGTCTTTCTGCATGGCCTACTTTATTCCTATATTTTCCTTTGTGTGGGATGGTCAGATTTATAGACAGCAGTTTTCTTTGTCTAGACATCTTCAACTAAAAAATAATTAATCTTCCTTCTGTCACTTTCTCTCAGTCTGAGCCACTTGCTCTTGTACTTTGAAGTTGACTCCAATTACTGACAGGCGTCGGTTGCAAGTAAATGTTCCATATCGAGTGACTGGTTCTGCTGTTTTTTAATTTAACAAGACCTTTGCTTGACTCATATCGTTACACAGCATCTCTGTTGCTTTGAGTCTATTCTTTATCTGTATGGAGATTGTCCAGTATTCACTGCCATATTGGTCATTAGATATTATGTACTATAAAAAGTGACATATTAAAATTGTATATAAGAAAAAAAAACAAACAAGTGAATAAATAGTAAGGGTAATAAAATAAATCATAAGTTGGTGAAGCAAAACAATGATGACAATAAACAAGAAAATAACAAAAAAAGAGGCTAACTGGTTTACAATTCATATTATTTTGAACCAATTGAGGACAAAGATATAAATTTTTTGCACAGCATTAAAAAAAAAGATAAATAAATTAAGAACTACCGATATACTCAGCTTTATAATGAGCTTTTGTCAATGTGAAACTGAATATATAGGTAGAACTAATCTCTGGTTGGAGACTAGCTAAATAGCTCAGCACATGCCAGCAAAGATCCGTCATGGGAGATGAGATAAATTGCATAAGCTTGTTAATACTTCAGGTTCAGTGATTCATGAACATTTAATAAATAATCTGGTATGTGTTATGTCATTTACCTGGGATTCCTTTACCATAATCAGCAGAGTGCGCTCCAATGACCACATTATACATTAGGTCTAGGCAGTCTTCCCTCTGTAAATAGAAGTGGTTGCTGGGCCTTAATATAATGTGATTATATTTTTTTTTTTATACCTCTGTTGATTCCTTGGCTGTTCTTGATTTATTGTTTTTTATAAAGTGTGAACACTATATTTTTGTCTTCTATTGACTTTGAAGAGTGATGTTCAAAAACTGGTTAACCTCTTTTTTGTCATTTTCTTGTTTGTTGTCATTATTTCAATTCACCAATTTATAGTGATTTATTTTATTATCCTTGCTCTTCTACCATGTTTTTTTTTAAATATTAATATGTCTGTATTTATAGATTTGATAAACTTTTGTACTCCCAGACTGTTTAAATAATAAGCATTGTTCAGGAATCTTGTCTTTTCATTTGTTGTTTCTAAGAATATTTTCCTGTATTAAAACTTTACTTAGTCGTATTTCTATATCACCTTTTCTGTCCTATATAAATGCATCATCTACAGACTTTTAAATTACGCAAAGATGAAAATAACACTGACATCTTATTTCAACAGATATATTTACCAAAACCACGCAAAAAATCTCTTGACATATTAAAGAGTAAATTTATTCAATAAAATCGCCATTGGCTTCAAACACAGCCTCCACATGACTTTGGAATCTTCTGCAACTCTTCTTAAGAGTCTACTTGTTTAAGTTCATAAATACTGCCATAATCCTTGTGTTTAGTTCATCTTTAGTATTACAAGGAGTTTTGTTGGTCTCTCACTCAACTGCTTCCCACATATAAGAATCATGGGGATTATTGTCTGGGGAGTTAGGTGGCCAGATGTAAGAGGTGATGTGGTTGCAGAAATTGTCTGATAGCTATGACTGTGTTCTCCTGCTTGTGTGGCATGGTGTAGAGTCCTGTTAACAGACATAGTGTCTTCCAGCAGCCAACCTCTTGACCCAAGACAGCACTACCTCCTCATTATACTTGATGTAGGTCTCTGTATTGAGTCTGAGACCCTGCAGGAAGATGAATGGAGGCATAATGTCACCATCATTAGTGATCACTCCAAACACTTTCATAATCACCATTAGACTTATCCAACTCTTTTGAAATCTTCTGCACTGTTTTCAGATTGACACCTGTACACTGAAATGTTTTGTGTTGAGGCTTCTGGCACGAATGCAAAGCAGTACAGCATGCTGTTTCTAAATTTCTGGTGGGGTGATTTGCGTCATGGTGCTCTTTTTCTGACAGATGCTTTGCAACTGACTCTACTATACTGTGCAGTTAACAAAATCAAACCAAACAACAAACATGCGCAAAATTAAAAATTATAAAATGGCAACAATTTAATCTGTATATTAAGCATGTTTGCCTTTTTCTTTGTTCAAGTTTTTTCCCAATTTGAATATGAAAAAATATAAAAAAATGTAGTATATATAAATAAAGAGTTTGAATATATAATATTAATCTTTGTTATCAATTTTCTATGTGGACAATCATGGCTCTCCACAGCTTTCTATCTAATTAATTTCTGCCTCTTTACCATCCCTCTTTGTCCTTGTATCATCCATTTTTCCCTACTCATAATGGTTTCCACCTGCATCTTTTGCCTTCCTTATGACTTGTCAGTATTAACTTCTCTAGACCCTCTTTCCTAATTGCTTGTCATAACTGTCATATGTTTGTAATTATCAGTTTTCTTCCAGTTCCTATTTCCTTTTAAAACCTTCTTCCTCACTATTTTATTTTTACTAAAGTTCATCCATTACAGGGCTTAAGAGCCACTCATGGTAGATGTTAACTGAATGAAGTGTGTGATTAGAACATTACATTGGGTAAAAGTAAAGTTTGATGATAGATACTGGTAGACATGAAATTAAAAATATAAAATGAAGAAAATTTACCCATCATACCTCGTACTTATATTTCTGTACCTGCTTGAATTAGACATCCTTATCTCAACAGGGGTTAAGAAAATAAAGGAAACCCTAAACTTGTTTCCTCATTAGCTCTGCTTTTCATTTCTTTGGACTTAGAATTAGTTTGACCATGAAAGATAAGAAGACTGTTGGATGTAAATTAGTCTGAGAAAGTTTTAATATGTTGATTTTTCTTTTTCGTCCCTTATTAGCCAGATACCAAATTCATTGGACTTTCTTACAAGCAAGCGGTACATCTGTTTTGGTATATTTCTCTTAAACAGTCTTTGCTAAAAGCTTCCTGATTGGTCACAAATCATTAGCATGCGTGTTAATGGTAATTACTTTTCTGCACATGGCAGTGTCAGATAACCTTGCCTGTGTTGTATCTCATCAAAGTACACTATCTCTGGAGAGGCAATCTATATCCATTCCAAACGTCTCTCCACTGTGCCTCCAGTTAAAGAAAGGATGGATGATTTTTTGAAACAGAAATGTTAGCTGATACATTTCAGTTCTGCAACTATCATGCTTTCATTTCTTCTCTCAAACCAAATATGTCCTCCTTCCATTTTATCTCTGTGAATTCTCTTCCTCAAGCTCTTTCTTTTCTTTTTTTTTTTTTTTATCTCTTTTCTCTTTTTCTATGGATTTTCTTATTTTTCCTTTCTTCAACTTGCACTTATCTATCTTTATCATCTCTTCCTTTTCTCTTTTTCACACTTCTATCTTTAATTTTATCTCTTTTTCAACACTTCTGACTTTCATTGTCTTCCTTTTCCACTTTGTCCTTGCACCTCTCACCTACTCTTCTTACTGTATCAAAGTCTGCTATCTTAACTTTTTTCTTCTTTCTTAACTTTTTCTTCCTATGTTTGTGAGGAGCAAGAAGTTACCACCCGCAAAATGAATGTTCTTTCTTAAATTTTTTCTCCTCCCTTTCTTAGCCCTTTTTCTCCTTTTCTTAGCTTTTTCTTCATGTTGACATCAAATTTTTCTTCCTGCCTGCTTACCATTTTTCTTCCTGTCTTTTCAACTTTTTCCTTCCTTTCTTACTTTTTTCATTCTCTCTGCTAGCCTTCTTAATTCCTGTCTTTTTACCTATCTTCTTTCTTACCTCCTTCTTTCTTTCTTACCTCCTTCTTTCTTTCTTACCTCCTTCTTTCTTTCTTACCTCCTTCTTTCTTTCTTACCTCCTTCTTTCTTTCTTACCCCCTTCTTTCTTTCTTACCGTTCCACTTTTTCCCTTTCCACTTTTTCCCTTTCTTACCTTTCTTCTTCCCTTTCTTCCCTTTCTTCTTCTTCTTCCCTTTCCTCTTCTTCCCTTTCCTCTTCTTCCCTTTCCTCTTCTTCCCTTTCCTCTTCTTCCCTTTCCTCTTCTTCCCTTTCCTCTTCTTCCCTTTCCTCTTCTTCCCTTTCCTCTTCTTCCCTTTTTCCCTTTCTTACTTTTTCCCTTTCTTACTTTTCTTCTTCCTCTTCTTACTTTTTGCCTTTCCCTTTCTACTTGCCTTTCTTAGCACTCTTACCTTTATTCTTCTTGTCTTTTTACCTATCTTACCTTTCTTCTTCCTTCATTACCTTTTCTCTTCCTTTCTTACCTTTTTCTCCTTTCTGTCTACTTACCATTTTTCTTCCTGACCTCTTACCATTTTTAAAGTCCAGTTTTGGTCCTTAGAACTCCTCCCCAAACATGTTTAAATCTCTTTATCTATTTGTTTAATAACATGTTGGAAGATCTTTACAGAAATTAACAACACAGTTAAAACTCTAATTTTATTTATAGATATATCTAGTGCAATTTTCCAACTCCATTATGGTTGTTTGTATTAACTTTGCACTCATGTCGATACAAAAGGCATGAAACTACAATTTGTCAATACTGAAAGTAAATTCTCATTAATAGCCCATAACTACTTTATACATCCAGTTGACACATCTTGTCAACTCTTCTAGTCAACTTTGACAACCTCTTTGTATACCAATGTTTTAATAATTATGCAAAAGTGTTTGATAAAGTGTGTCTAAAAGAACAGTTTGAACTACTAGGCAAGCTTGTAATATTTGGGAAAGATATTAGAATAATCTAGAATGTGTAGTGGCAACAAACAGTCTGCATCTGGATAGAAAATGAATTCTGTAAATATACAAAAATAGAAGTGGGTGTAATACAAGAATGTGCCTTCTTACCAGACTTATTCAACCTTTACATTGAGACGATCTTGAAAGAATTAGAAGTCCTACCAGGATTCATTACTGGTAGCCACAATTTTAACAACATAAGATTTGCAGATGACCGTGTTGATAGCAGTCATAGAAAGAAAACTACAGGAATTCCTACAAAATGTAAAAGTGAGAAGAAAGGACAAACAACAACTGTAAAAAAGACAAAATGTATGGTTGTCAGCAAAATAGACAAACCAATATGCAAGTTACAAATTGGGGATACCAAAATTAAACAAGTACAAAAATTTAAATATCTAAGAAATGTTTTAACAGAATGGAAAATATAACAGTAAAATCTGAAGGCACATTGGAATAGGGAAAGTGCCTTCCAAAAGCTAAGCAAAGTAATAAAAAATAGGAAAATTTCATTAGAAACAAAGAAAAGAATAATGAATATTTATGTAATATTGGCCCTCTTATATAGCAGTAAAAGCTGGCAAATCTCCTCAGAAATGAAGTGGAGACTTGCAATAACAGATATGTGGTTCTACAGAAGGATGTTGAGCATAACATGAACTGAACATGTGAGCAACGATGAAATTTTAGAGGAATTAGAAATGAAAAAGTCACTTATTTTGACACCAGAAAGAGATAACTGAAATTTTTCGAGGACATGACAAGAAAAGAGGATTTAGAAAATTTGTCATTGACAGGACATATTGAAAGTAAGGACATAAGAAAGCAGTACATAACCTGCTTAATGAGCTTGTGTAAATGGTTGGTAGAACAGGGATTAGTAGTGATAGTAAAACAACAAAATTTACTAAAGGCTATAAAGGACAGGAAATTGTGGAGCTATGATTGCCAGCATGCTGAAGAGACACTGCACATGGAAGCAGAACATGCATATAACTGTTTATGGCAGATATGATATATAAGTCTATATATCAATGATAGTGTGAAATTGAATGACAAAATGAAAAATCATGTGTTATCTATTTCATCTTCTGAAAGGATTTCAGTCTGATAATGTTTTTATTGGTGAAAATCATATACAAGAAACATTAGTTATAATTAAAGAAAGCAAAGAAAATTTTGTTTACGTACGATCATCAAAGTTAAGCAATGTTGAGCCTGGTTAGTAACTAGATGGATGACCACTTAGGAATGTGAGGTGCTGTAAGCTTGGATATGCAGTTACTGTAATGGATAATGGCTCGAAATTATTAATTAGAGAACCAAGTTCTAATTTTCAGATGAGTCCGTTACATTCACTTATGTGCAAATACCCTTGGGAAAGATATGAATCCACCTTTTTCCCCCAAAGCTATGGGTTAATTAGCAACACATGCATCCCTAAGTCGTTATTATCTCGAAAAAAGACAATTCTTACAATCTAGAAATATTTTCTGGCTTTAAGTAACCTTCAAAGGGTTGATAAGCTGTCAAAAACAAATCAATCTAAGTTAAAGAATAGTGACAGTCTGAAGATTACATGAAACAGACAGTCACCATGCAGTGTTGATTTCTTGTCCACATGCACACACATTCTCACTCTCTCTCATTCACACACACACACACACACACACACACACAATTTAGATTTTGGATATAAATGTATTTATATTTGCATTTTGAGCAAAGATTTTTTTAAATTTTGTAAAGGACTCTCCATTTTGCCAGATAATACTTGTTCATACACTGTAATATTTAAGAACTTAACACCATTCTATTTATTTTTTTTCTTTCAACAGACAAGAGACATGTAGAAATATCAGTCTGATTTTACCACATTTTGAAATCATTTCCTCATATTCTCTCCCTGCCACTGGCAACATTGTGGCACTTCTATCCAAATCTCTGAGCCAGATTAAGTTTAATTCTGTTCCCTTTGGTGCCAAATTCTTCCCCGTTTTGATATTTGTCATCACAAGAAATTAAGGAAGAAGCTGATAATTTTGCAGACGATGAATTCACATTAATCTCATGAATTTTATCTTGTTTGTTATTCAATATCATTTCCTTTTTTTTTTTTTTTTTTTTTTTTTTTTTTTAACTTCAAGCTCTTTAATTCATTTTTTTAGTATTTAAACTGTGTTCAGCTTGAAAAATTATTACTTTTTAAATTATTCTTTTTTATTTGGTCATATTGAAAATTGTTTTGGATCAACTTAAAGTATTGTTATTGCTGCAACTACTACTAAAACTACTGCTGCTACATTATAAACAACCAACCAAGAGAATAAGGAGAGTGGTACAATATGATTTCAGATTTAAACCTTGCTTTTCAAATTCGTTCAGATTTTATCCATAGGAAATTGCCATTAGAAGAAAAACATCTATATACCTGTGAATGTTAGACAATCTTCTCACAGTGTTAGACATATGCTTCTACCAATGGCAAGTGGGAAGATAGTATCTTAACAAGTTTGTGTGAGTCAATAACAGAACAGAGACAAAAAATGAATGGTAAAGAGTTAGAAATTTGCTTCAAGCAACTCAGAACAGAAAGTCTAATAAAATGTGGAATCAATGTATATTTGAAGCTGGTTCTTTCTTCTTATCTGGCACTGTTCTTGTAACAATCAAAGTGTAAAATCATACTTATTATAAAACCCAGGTTGTGTGTGTGTGTCTGTACGTTTATATATTGGATCAGATTTCCTACATTTTTCAACTGATTTCAACAAAACTTCACAGGACTACATAAAATTACCTTGCGGTGGTTCTGACAGCACCAAAAATGGGAAAAACACAGTTGTTTTTTGCACAAAATCAATTTGAAAACACGATTAAGAGGCATCGCAAGAATGAAAAGGGGGACAACTCATATTGAGTTATACTTATTATAAAACCCAGGTTGTTTGTGTGTGTGTGTGTGTGTGTGTTTATATATGGGATCGGATTTCCTACATTTTTCAACAAAACTTCACTTTTTTTTGACAGGTAGTGTTTCTTATTGTCTTGCCCACTTTTTTCTTTATTTTTACATTCAGAATGCTTTAAAAATTCCATTTACAAGACAATTGTTTATAATAAAATTCTATTCAATCAGTAGACTCATAACGATTGAAAACAATGCTTTTGTTTGAGTTTGGGTTTGACCAATTCATAAAAAAAAAACTAATTAAGACATGCGTGTCCGTTAACCTTAAACAATGATATTTGTCAATTTTATTTTTCAGTCTTTATGATGGTTGATACTTGATCTATCTCTTACTGTTACATCCCCGGGCAACACCGGGCTCTACTGCTAGTTAATAATAAAAACTTCATTTTGGAATTTATAATAGTCTTGTCTATAAACTTCTAGTGTGTGAATTAAATTCTTTCTTGTAGCAACAGAAGAGAAAATAATGTCTTACCTTGAAATTATGTTCTCTGTGTTGTTTGTCAAAAAAGAAAATCTAAATCGAGAAGAGGCTGATTTCAGTAGGCCTTGAAAAATGGCAATTTTTTGCACTTTCTTAGCAGTCACGACCAACCACAGCAATAGAATGCAACTTTGGACCACCAGCAGATTGCTTGGCTCTTTGCAGATAAAACGGTAGTTGTGAGTTGTGATACAGATTTTTGACCCCACACCTTTTGATTTACATCCTGTCATTTTCTGGTGTTGAACTTGTGGCATTGATTTGTGACCCTTGAACAACAATATGCAGATATGCAGAATGTGTGTACATCTATACTGATGATTCCAAAAACAGCGATAGAGTAGGATGTACTGTTATTTTTAATAATGCAACAATTAAAAATGTCTTCCAAATGAAGCCTTCATATTTAGTGCAGAAGTAAGACTGATAGATATAATCCTCAATGGGATCACCAAAGAAAAATCTTCAAAATTTATCATCTTTTCTGATTCCACATCAGTATTAATATCTATCAAAAACAAAAAGCTGGATAATCCTTTGATAGCTAAAATATTGGAAAAAATCCATGCCATCTCTACATTCAAAAAATTCTGTTCATCTAAATTCCTAGCTATGTAGGAATTAAGTATAGAGCAGACAAATGTGCTAAACAGGCATTAAGACGAGTTCCTGAAAATTTTCAAATCCTATATACTGACTTAAAACCATTAATTAGGAAATGTGCAAAATCAATGGCAAGAAAAATAAAGTGAAAAAAATATGCAAAATAAGCTAAATACAATCTTACCAACCCTCAAAAAAAAAAAACTGCTATAATGGAAAATTCTGAAGGTCAGGGGTTATTATGTCATAACTATGAATAGGTCACACTAAAATTAGTTTTTTCTTTTTTTTTTTGAAAGACCTATTTGAAAATATTAAAATAAATAGAATTATAACATTCTTGAAATCGATGAGATTATATCAGAAAATATAAAAAAAACAAAGATTGTCCATTTTCCCTAAATATAAACCAAAATAAATCACTTTTGGTATAAAATGACTCTTTCAAGTTGATACGTCATTAAAATGACTCTTTCATGTTGATATGTCATTAAAAATCCATTGAAACTTTTGATCCTTCAAATTACAACCTCAA